ATGCTGGAAATAAGAACTATTCAGAAGTTTTAAAACAACCAAACCATCGAATTCAGGCTGATCAATGGCCTCATTTGACGATTCACTTACAGGGCCATCATATCGATACTTTCGACGTTACCAGCGAAATCAGGTAACAAGCATTCGATTAGTAATTCTGGTCTTTCTTTCTTCATGAGCTGCACTGTTCTGCAGATATGTGATGCACCTCCATCTTCAATATCATCCCTTAATCAGCAGGATTAGTACCAACTGGATATCAGAAAAAGTTATAAAAGAAGAATAACTCTGAAGAATCGTTACCGATCGACCGACGTGAGAACAATGTAGTCGACTTCCCACGACTTAACAGCTTTGGCTGTATTTTCCGGTTCCAAAGGGTCCAGCAGGGGCGGTTTACGAGAGGTTTTTACTGAACAAAATCTGAAACAGAACCGAAGAAGCTAAACAAGACAGAAATCTTGACGGTTTTCTTGCTAATACTATACTCACAAGAACCACACCTACAACCTCGTGTACAAGTGTCGCCCATCAGGAGAATTGTTGCGGTGGAAAGCGAGTCTTCCGAACCTCCCCAACATTCTCCTAGATTTGGACATCTGCAAAACATAATCGATAACCTGTAACAAATCAATATTTCTGCTAAGTAACAGAGTAGGGCGGTCAAAATGAAGGTGAATTTTTGGTATACCGGGTTGATATACGACGCACCTGGCTTCCTCGCAAACAGTGGCTAATTTCAGTCCCTTCAATTGCTTCTTCAATCGGGAAACATTCGCATTTTCGCTAGGATTAACCTGAATATTCTAGAATAGTCTTAAGAAACTTACCTATCCACGGATAGCTTACCTTTGGTTTTTTGAGCCAATCTGGCAGCCTTAATCGACGCTGTCCTTTTAACAGCTTCAATTTTCCTTCGTACCTAGCAATAGCTTCATCGACAGAACCTATTGAAATGATAGCAAATGATTGCCTTGTACGTATACATGTACATATACACACTTGTATATACATATGCATACATACACATATATATACATTTATACGCATATATACATACATATATATATATATATATATATATATATGTATATATACAATACATAAGCTAAAAATAAAGAATGAAGCACTTGTCCTTGATGGATGGCACCATGTATTCGACGATTCTTTCCTGTTCGACAGGGACAAATGAAGAAACGACGTCTTTCGCTAGACAACAACTTTTCATTAAAGTGTTAGTAATCATTCAAGAGCTTAAACCTCTGTCTACTGCGCTACATGCTCCTTTTCTTGAGAAAGAACTTTGATAAGGTTGCAGCATTGAAAATAAAACTATGTTTTGCACCGGCTGTGCGTCTTTACTAATATTTCGCCGAAAGCACGAAAACCATATGAATGTGTAGAGGAAATCTTGTAACATCAGAATCTTACGCTTTACCTGGAGTTTCATCCAAAACGAAGAAGAAAATTCTAAATTAAATAACAAAAAATACACACCACATGTGTGACGCGCCAGCGCGATCGATCGTGAAGTGCCGTATCGAGCTACGTCTAGCACATAACCAACACACACACACTAGCCGACAAGCAAATGTGCGCCGTATGTGAAACGCAATCTTATTTTCTCTGCTACGCAGCAGCAAAACGGTCTTTCCACAAAGTAAGCACAGCGACGGAATTGTCGAAACTTACGCTATCGAATGGTTACTCTATATTTCAAAAAACAATTCTGGCCTATTAGAAATACGCGTGTGTGAAACATAAAGGTTTTCTTTCAGTGTTCTGCTACAGTGTATAAAAAGACGAGGAGGCCGAAACCTCCGAAACACCGGTGTATGATCCTGGCGTACCAACCTCGTTTAGGCTTGCAACATTCTTTTTTTTGGAATTATTTTGAATGTATAAAAAGGCTCTTTGAAAAATAAGCACAGCGTTGGAATCAATGAGATTTACCCTGTCGAATGATGCTGACAGCCTGAATAAAGAGCTCACCCCAGCGAGTAATATGTGGGTGTGAAACTAATTTCATTTTGGATTTCACAGGTTAACAAAAGGGCGTTTCAGAAAACCGGCCACGAGCATCTGTAGCTAGAGTTTCTAGCTTTCGAACGATTACTATCACTCCTGCGAGAAGTTCGTATACAGTGAATGAGGTCGAATATTCGTTTGTTCCCTCATAAACGAAAAGAACCGTATATACACACATACACATGCATATGTATACATCATGCATATATATACATATATATATGTATATATATACGCATATGTATACATTATGCATATAGATATATATATGTATATATATATATGTATATATATATATATATATATAAATATACGTAGGTGTATATATACATACGACAAAAATGACAATGAAGCACAAAAATAAACGTACTTGAGCCAACGAAATCCTCAAGAGATGGTCCATCTTTCAGTTTTGACTTCGTCCCGATTGGAGGAGACGAGTATGAGCGAAACGGCGGGACGAGGACATATCGCGTCCTTTGCAACATGTCTAATCGACTTTTCAAGTAGTAATATTGTTTTGATAGAGAATCGAGCGGGTCTCGATCACGGAGAAAAACCCAGTAAGCCGATGCCTGCAAGTAATTCGAAAATGTTTGACGATGCTTAGAGATATATAAAACTTCCGACCCTAGTTGGGAGCTGAACCCGCATTTCACTCATATCGAGGACGCGTCTTACCACTACACCAGAGAGTCTACCGGTCTCCCACCACTCCTTCTTCGATATAAAGCATAACAGTTAGATAATAGTAGTCACGAAAGCGATGCCCTATATCAAAGAAAGTGTGGTGGCGGTGCAGCAGCCTTCGTAGGGCAGTGGTAGCACGCGCTCTTGGTATGCTGAAACACGGGTTCGCCTCCAGCCTAAGGCTCTCGAAGCTTCAAAAATCAATTTGCGTCCTTTGATATACACTTATAACATCACAGTACTGCTATAATCACGCTAGAAGAGGAATTTCTGGCAAATTTCCTCGGACTTTTTACTAAGCCTTTTACGAGGGTTTCGTGCTGCATCTTAGCGATCTACGTACGTTTCGACAATTTCGCCCGTCTCGTCAGCATCACACGACCCATACTAAGAAAAACAGAGGGCGAAGATGCCACAGTGTTAGTCAAGTGAAATGGAACGTGTTGCGTCGTCTTTCCTCCAGTCGGCTTGGCGGTTCTTATCATTTAATCATTGCTTTTTGGTCAACTGATTTCCAAAACCTCGTTAGAATAGTATGAGATGGGTGCTAATGACGATACGGCGAAACAGTCGAAACGTACGTATGTCGCTAATATGCAGCACGAAAACTCGTAGAATGTATATATGTATATATATATATATATATATATATGTATATATATACACGTATATATATGTATATATGTGTATATATGCATATAAAAGGATAAAAGGACAAAGCTCTCGGCGTTGATCAATTCCTGAGGGATGCGCCATGTATTCGTCTTCAATTTTGAACTTCGTTTAAGATGATCGAATGCATATCTGGCCTTTACAATGACTCGCGGTGGCCTCCCGCTGAACCGAGTCAGTGCTGCTTGTCTTCCCAGACAAGTCTGAGACCAATCTGGTACCAATTTACCGACCCCGAAGGGATGGATGGCTTGGTGAGCCACGAGCGCGAGATCGAACCATTGACCTCGTGTGCGACGCAGAGCACCTCTAACCACTGCGTCACATGCGCCCATATATGTGCATATATATGTATACATACATATACAAACATTTACATATATATATATGTGGGGTGGGCGCGCTGAGGCTGAGTGGTTGTGGTGCACCACCTCCCCCCTCCCCTTCACCCCTTCAAGCACTCTTCGGCAGTCAACAAGAAGGCTCTATGGAACGCCACAACCAGCCTGTCCTGGAGATTCCAAAGAGACTCGCTCAACCAGTGATCTACGCCGTTCAAGAGGACGAAACAGCGAATTGAATGCTATTAGAAGTACTGCAACCTGCATAATGAAAAAAATTGTTATGACGGTCGTGTAAATATAAAAAATCTTCGTGTATACACGTATGTACACGCGCATATACAAGTATATCTACATGCATATACGTACGTATATGTGTATACTTTGACACTTTATTGATCCGTCTTCACAGTGTTTTCTTTTACTGTGCGGATCCCAGTAGTTCTAGTAGCATTCAGTTCGCTGTTTCGTCTTCTTGAACGGCGAAGAATACTGGTTGAGCGAGTCCCCTTGCAATCTCGAGGATAGCCTGGCCGTGGCGTTCAATTCGGCGCTGTTGTTGACTACCGGAGAGTGTTAGGAATGAAGCTCGCCTCCCCGCACACCGTAACGAGCATCACAACCGCTAGGCCACAGGGCATATTTAAGCACATGCGTATACATATGTATATATCCATATGTACGTATATATATACATATACACACATATATATATATATACTGAAGTTTTAACGACTTTATTGAAATCAGTTGAACGAAGCAATTCTGATGGATTCTCCTAAGAAACTTTACGAATCTCAAATGATAGATACAAAAGTGAAACGTCGTCTTTGACGACAAGGAGGGCTTCCTGAATGTCTCCTTTTTCACGATCTACCACGACGAGCTCGTCCCTCAGATTTTGAGGGACGCCTGATTAAAATATAGAATAAGAAAAAAAAAACACGAGAAGTGTGCAAAATTGCGTGCTCGAATAGGCTCGTGTGTAATAGTCCGTATGGGTCGAGCTCTCTCCGAAGGCGCGAATATTTGAGTGCCTACGATCGAGCAACGATCGTCCCCATTTCAACCTTTGGTGGCGGCTGTCGATCGATTTTTGCAAGCGGCGCGCGATTTTCCTTTATTTAATAAGAGTTTTTCCTTTGCTTTGGAGAAAACTCCAGGTATTTTTGTATCACTCTGGTATCGGAATTCATTTATTTGACCGCCTCTTGTGGTGTTATCATCGTATAATATATCCAATAATGTAGAGTGCTGTGCAAAAATATATGCATCAGCCAGGATTCGAACTCAGACCTCGTTCTTTCCAAGAGCGTGTCCTGAACTGTTGCACCACCGACGCTGCGTCAGCTGGGTTCGAATCCCAGCTGATGCAAATGTTTTTGCACAACACTCTACATTATTGGGTATAATTCTGATACTCCATAACTTTCCCACACGCTCGTATACTTCTTGTGCACGTATAACTTTGCTCGGGATAACAATCGATCGACCATGCAGCGCGATTGTCAGGGCGCGCGATTTTCGTCGCTTAATTAGAGTTTTTTCTTCGCTCTAGGACAAAAATCCTAGATTTTTCGGTGTTATTCTGATAGCACATGATTTCCTCTATAGGCTCATATGCTTTGATCTATTCATAACGCTCAGGTGCAAAGAAAGCTCCGAGTATGAAAAGTAGTCATCTTTTCGCTCCTACAGCGCACTATGAAGACCTTCTCGCAAACCAAGTAGTGTTTCAAAATCGCCGAGATTTGTGCTGTCGAGTGAATACAGGCCCAGTCTAATAAAGCCATCCACAGACCCTATCCGAGCAAGCAAAGCACTGTAAGTTTGTGAAACATAATTCTGTTTTCGCTGCTACAACACGTTAACTTGTCATTTTCAGAAACCAAGCACTAGGCTGAAATTTACGAGATTTAAGCTCTTGAGTAGTTATTGAAATTTTAGTAGAGAAGCTTAGTCCAGGGAAAAAGATTCTCAATGATGTGAAGTGATGTGCAAAACCTTTGCGCCAGGCGAGACTTGAACCCGCATTTCACCCGATCCGGGCCGCGTGCTTTATCCTTTGCCACACTGACGCGCAGCGTAGAAATAGTGATGGCAAAACAGGCGTCGGTGGTGCAAGAGAGGGAGCACGCGCCTTCGAATTGGGTGAAGTGCGCGTTGAGGTCCTGCCTGGCACAAATGTTTTGCACATCACTTCGCATCATTGCGTATACTATAATATCATAATACCTCTTGAAGCGGTTGAAGGAAATAGATTCTGTTCGAAAAATTTTCCGAAAGGTGAGGCATAGAGACGACCGTCACCGTTTGCAAAAAGGTTAAGGCCTCACCACCTCTAGAAATCATTAAGTTTTATTTTGAAACAGTAAAATTGCTAGATTTATATTGCTTCATCAACGACTGACGTTATTTGGTATACTGTTATCCAGTAACAACCATGAAGCGCCTGGCACGAGTGGTTGTGATGCTCGTTGCGCTGCGCATGAAGCCCAGCTCCACCCTACCCCCCCCCCCCCCCCATCGAAACTCTCCGGCAGTCAGCAACAGCACCCTATGGGACGTCGCAGCCAGGCTATCCTCGAGATTGCAAGTAGACGTGCTCGACCAGTGTTCTACGACGTTCAAGAAGAGGACGAAAAATGAATCGAACGCTAGAATTACTCGGATCCGTACAGTGAAAATGTGATGGCGGATCATGTAAATAAATAGATATAATTATAAATAAGCATTATTATTAGGTATTAGTAGTATTATTGTTTATTAGTGCTATCATTGTTAGAGTGTGACTGAATGTTAGGATTATTGACTATTCAGTATTACTCAGTTGTTTAGTATTTTTAGGTTAAGGAAAAGTTCCTTAACACCCGCTGAGAATTCAAAGTTTAAACATGGATTCGATAAAAAACAGCAATAATTATTCTTCAAAATATGGTCGTCGATATGCTTGATCTTCTGCTAAAGATCTTGAAGCTTCCGGATCTGCTCGAATGCGGCCATTTCTTGGGCTTTGAATTAGAAGACTCCTGAATGCCTCTACAGCCTGATCAAATGCCTCGAATCGGCATCCACGCAGGGAATGTCCCGTTCCGTTAAGCCGAAGAGACCATAATCGGACGACGCAGCATCGGACTGTAGGCTGGGTGCGATAAGAACTCGTCTCCCTCCAGTTCACCAAACTTTTCTTTAGCCTTTGCGGTGTGAGGTTTGACACTGTCTTGTAGAAATAGCTCGAGCTTCGACGAATCGATGTCGGATATGAAGATAAAGGATAAAGCTCTCGACGTTGATCAATCCTTGAGGGATGCACCTTGCATTCGTCTTCAATTTTTAACTTCGTTTGAGGTGATTGAATGCATAACTGCCTTTTACAATGACTGGCGGTGGCCTCCCGCTGGACCCAGTCAGTGCTGCTAATTCTCCTAGACAAGTCTGAGACGAATCTGGTTCCAATTTACCTACCCCGGAGGGATGAATGGATTAGTGAGCCATTAGCGCGAAGTCAAACCATTGATTTCGTGTGCGACGCTGAGCGCCTCTAACCACTACGCAAGCCACATGCGCTCATGATGTCGGATCTACCTAGAAGAATTGAGCGGTGAACCAAAATTCGACCTCATTTGGGAGTTGAAACCGCGTTTCATGGATACCGTGGGCGTGTGCTACCACCATACCACCGGGACGCCGTTTCGCCACCACTCATTCTTCAATGTCTCTGTCATTAGCTATCAGCGACTAACCTATAACAGGTTTGGTCGGGTAAGCAATATCACCGTATAAAGCCAGTCAATCACGCGCCCCCGGTATGGATGAAACGCGGCTTCAAGTCTCGTCCGAGATCGAATTTTTGCTCACCATTCAATCCTCTTAGGTATGTTTGACACATCATAACAATGCGAAAAGTCAGTACAAACATAAATGATCTTGAGTATCACAAAGTTGGGTACTTTTCATTCACAAAATCGTAGACTCGGTCCAGCTGCTAGCAGTAGAGTTCGGGATTGATGGCGCGACGATTCGAAAAAAGATATGCGTGATACCGTCAAAATACCACTCAATGCAGACCATGGCCTTTTCCCCATATGGGCTTTAACGTGCAACCGATGGCGGAACTTGACCCTTTGGAACCCAACGTTTGCCCTCTGATTGTGATTGACCCAGGTAGACACATTTCTTATCCGACGTCACGATACGCTTCCAAATTCGATCCTTCAACGGGTTTCGCAACAAAATGGCGGCGGACTTCAACACGGCGATTGATTTGAGCTTCAGTGTCATTTCGCGTGGATCTTGACGAGGCCTTTTGTGGACAAAGTCAAGTTGCTGGAAGATGATTCTAGGCCTCCCCGTCAAGTTCTCTTGCCAATTCACAAGTGCTTGGTGGCGATTTCGCACTCAAGGTTAAATTTTGTCCATAGTCATTAATTGATATCGGAAGAGTAATTTAAATTTTGATACGCTATAACTGGCGTTGTGATGAGAGTTTCTTATGGAAATTGTTCATGAGATATTCTCATGAATTTACGATAACCGTACTGTATGAAACAAACATAAAGTTTGAATTTTTCGCGTGTGTTAAGGAATTTTTTTCCACTTAGGCTCAGGCTTAGGCTTAGGCTACTGTTGCCCGGGTATTGAGATTCGGAATGGCCCATTTGGGACGGCGTGACGATTATTTGAAGAACTTTTTTGCTAAATAAAGTTCTCTCTCAAGACTTTTAGCAGCTATTCGGAAGCCTAGATCTCGGAGATTTCAACACTATGCTTGTATTCTCGAAAGGCCTTCTCAACGCTCTGTAGCAAGGAAAATAGGTAGGGTTGTTTGAAACAAGGCGTTAATTATGTACTGGAGAGCTTCTGGAAGGCTATACAGAACAACTTTGGCTCTTCCCGGACATCTTCCTGCTGCTGCTAGGTGATCAAACGGACGACTCAGATTGTATTGCTTGATCTCCTAACATTAGCAAAAGGAAAATGGGCTACAAATCATGTTATATGGGCGCTGGAGGTCACTCGGCTCTGTTTGTGTTCGCGAATTGGCGGTCTCCTGTGTACCACAGAAAAGTGGCCTTTCTCATCCATTTTCTTGTTCTTGCGAAGCCACAGAATTCTGTCCAACCTCCATAGTTACCTTGATTATGGATACATCAGAATGTATGACGTTTTCTACGTCACAGTTTCTACAGCCATTCTAGGAGCAGTGGCTTCCATCTATCGGTCAGCTGCTGCTGGTAGGGGAGCTGATGCGTTCAAAGTCCGTTCGTCAATTACATGCGATATTGAGCCGCTGGACAAGCATCTCACATATTCACTGTTATGGTCTGGAAGAGGCTGGAGTGCTCGAGGCAATTGAAGAAGAGCTCGCCATCCTGCATGAAGAAGATCCGGTCAGTTACGACTTTCTGCTATTCTAATCCTGAAAGTATGGTGACATCGACGCTTTCGCTCCGTCGGCCGTTTTCGGCTGGCGGACGGTTCGGACGATTACGAAGAGCGGCTGGCCTACTAAAAATACCTTCAGAGTGATTAGAGTGATTTCTTCAGCGATATTCCTTCGATCAATGACAATAAAACTCCTCTAAAGCCTAGTAAGTAAAACCAGTTTCTACTGGGAGTCGCGCCAATCTTCGTAAGCCATCCGAATAGCGCGAACACGTGTCGTTTTCGCTACACGTCATAGCGAAAGGGTCAAGTAACAGCCTAGGAGGCTATCAGGAACTACGTGTATAGAAGAACACTCCTCTAGATAGTCAGCTATCTATCTCTAATAAAAGCTTCCTACAATTCAGACATGCAGTTTGCTTTGCAGATTATATGAATTTTTCCTCTTTTTCCTCCTATTTTCCACTGCAATTCAGTCCTCCATGTACGTGATCATCAACTGCTATCTTGCAAATGGTTCGCTCAAACTCCTGGTAGACGAGATAATACGAGCGCTGAAGCTAAGTCGTTATGGAAAGATCGACAGTGTGGATGCGTTGGCAAGCATCCTGGAGACCAATCTGTTCACGACGTGAGCCTAACGTTTATAATTTTGGCGTTAGCAGTGCTTTCAATGTCGCCTTTTTTTGGCATATCTCCATTTTCAGCGAAAATCGTGTCAAACTCACTATTGTTCTTGATCAAGCCCAGCTTTTGTCGTCGTTTCCAGCGTCAGCTGTCAAACCCTGCTCTCTCTTCCTAAATTGGTGATGTCTCTTTGATTTCTGTAGAATCTTTATATTCGTAGGGAGCGGATCTCGGCAATGGAACTTGATTTTATTTCCAATATGTAGAGTACTGTGCAAAAACGTTTGCGTCAGCCGGGGTTCGAACCCAGATCTCACTCTTTTCGAGAGC